CTTTTGAAAAAATAGCAGTATAAATCTAGTAAAAAACTATAATATATCCTAGACTKACAAACCGTCTCTGCTCAGAATCGTTTTTCGTTTTTCGTATATAATGATATTATATCATTAAATTCAAATTTAATACCATCCATTACAGTCAACCACTTGTAAACTACTTTACAGTAGAGTGATATCTACTTACCCGCTTTTTTTTCAAAAATGTATTGATTATTGACAATAATTCCTGATAATATACTGAAACAAAATATTCACGAATAGTGTATGTCATCGTATAATCGAAAATAACTCCTGGTTTAGAGTGTTTAGACCAGTGGTTCCGTGCAAACTATGAGATATATTATGAAGTAAACATATTTACGATTTACCAACATTTAATTTCCAAAATATGCAAATTCGGTTCATTTTAAAATTAAATTTTTATCATACCCCACTTTCCGAAAAAAGTTATAAATTTCCTAGTTAATATAATTCCTTATAGGTAAGTTGGTATTAATCGATAAATTGTAAATCGTAAATAGTATTATACTGATTTATTTTTTATGAATTATGTTTAAGCTTGAAGAAAATTATATTCTATTATGGATTAAAATATTATTTAAAAAAAAACAAATATTCGATAAAAGATCATCGCTTATAGCGGATATTAAGTGATAACGAAAACTGTAGAGCGAGAAAAAAGAAAAACAATGAACGTATTCGTCAGTAATATTGCTATCACCAAGCCGATAAATTATTAAAATAGATTTCGTCAGTACCAAATCAATTTGGGTTTATCATCATTTATTAAAACAATATCGTTTTTCTACTAGATTTGTACTAGACACCGGTTGTCTTCAAAAGTTCAAAAGTACATTTGAATTCAAATTCGGTATTAGGTCAAACAAGGACTCAATGACATACTCCACTCATGGGAATTTATTGATTCTGCTGGCTACTGTTAATAGATTATAATATATATACTTACAGATTTAACTGGATATTTATCTATCCCGCTGGCTACTTTTCATATTATGTAGGTACCTATCATTTCCACAGCTCCGCTTTTTTTTTAAATATAAAAAAAATTAAAGAAACTTTCTGACAAAAATTAATATTTAATGATTTTTTTTTTTTTTATCAAGAACAATGAATCACTTGTGAAAATATTTTGTTTCTCAATAATTGGGAGTAATGAAAAAAAATAACATTTTCTAAAAACAAATCCTGTATATTTTGTATTGTTATAATTTATAATTTTTTTTGTGTATTAAAAAAATAAGATTAGGTAGAATCAATATTCATTTAATATCAACATTATCCAGTGGAATTAATAGCCAGTGATATCAATATCAATATGTATAGTCTAGTATAGATAATAGAGATATTATATGAACAATGGTCAACGGAATCGCGATTCGCGGATGCTCTATTTAAGTGGACAAAATCGATGTAGGTATATTCCCACACTCAAATGTAACATATTACGTATTAATAAATTGTTTAATAATAAATGTTAAATAGTAAATACTTATAGATAAATAATAACAACTCTCAAATAAAAACTAATGAATTTTTAAATGCATTCACTATTTAAAATTGTTACTATACCTAGTCTATAACGCACTTTAATATTTTAACAATAGAAAACACCAGGTATATGTACTTAATATTGTCTACCAAATACAAATTTATACAGTGGGTAATATCTAAAAGATAAAATTCAAAATAGCATCCATATTTCAGAAGTACAGTTTCAAGTGTAAGCATAATATAGCAATATGAACAATTTAATTACAGATATTTTCATAATTAAAAATTGGATGATACCTATAAGGCTATAAAATTATAATTTATGCATAAAGTACCCAATACAATACGAAATAATTTGTCAAATAAAAAATGATTAGGTACCTATTGTTATCATCTGTGTGTGTGTATTTCCAAGCGCTTATAATAAATTTAGTATAATTATTATACGTGTGATAGTGTTGATGTGGTGTACGTATATAAATAACTGTATTATCGTAAAAATTTAAGCTGTGATAGATCAATAATACTGTGTTTCATGATATGTTGCATGTTTTTGTCTTAATCGGACATATTAACATTTACATTTTAATTCCAATATTTTCTGACGTTGCAATTTGTGTTACTTATATTCCTATAATACATAGCCACCTCAGCTACAAAAAACACATATGTGTTGAGTATTTTAAATCTTTATAAATATACAGATATTGTAGTAAAACTGCATTATCATTATGTCGCATAATGATGTGTAATTATTGTAGTACGTCTAATATATGAGACGGAAACAATTTAAATATTCAGCGCCATAGAATCAGTTTTGAACAGACGAAAACGCTAATCTTTTTAGTCATCGGCAAAAGTATCAAGTGCATATTATAATACACTACGAAAATAGGTCAAAATAAATAAATTTATATGGCTAAAATTTCAAAGACGATTTCTATACGTGTATTATCGGTTATAAATTACATTTATTAAGTCAATCAATATTTAATACAGAAAGAAAAATGAAAATGTAATATAATGTCTTTAATCTTCATCATCATCATGGAAAAATTATAATGATGTCTTGTTCCTATATAAAATACTAACCAATAAAATTGTACGCCTTGAACTGTTAGGTACAATTAATGTTAGAACACCACAAATAAACACTCATCGTTCTTATAGTAGAACGGTTCTACTATAACATTTTTTATATCAATAAACAATAATATTGTAAACGTAGATAATATGTAACTTTGTTCTATATTGCCTTATCAACCGTATACCTACATTTAGAATTAGTATAATAGCATTAGTATTATAGTACCTACTATTGCAGTCATAATTTCATATAATAGATATGATATATGAATAATTGTGATTTTTTATGATAATATTAACGTCTTAAAGCATTATATATATGTATATATTTATTAGTGAATATTTTTTTATCATTGCATTTATATGAAAACTGTACTCTCTTAACTTAATTAAATTAACTTAACTTGATGAATACTATATGATATAAAAAATAAAAATATATATCAATCAGGTATGAGTTGTTATTGTTACCTAGGTCAATACCTATATACTGTATAAGCAGGCTCTGATTTACGCAGTGCGTGAGCACATGGCAATCATGGAATCCAAATGTCTAGGCCCCCCTTGGCCCTAAATTACAACTCTATACCAAAAAGTGTGTAAGTACTTAAACATATTATAAGAACTCACATGTGCTCTTCTTTAGCAAGAAAAAAATTGATTCTTTATCGTAATTGAAAATCAATCATTATATTATTACAAAAAAATATTAACATTTGAAGATATACTAGTGCTGAATTTGAAAAAAAAATATGATTGTCATTAATTTTGAGCAAATCGTTGCTAACGGAATGTTTGCTGTTTTTAATTTTTACCAATTTTTGAATTAAAAAGGGACCCAAAGTAAAGCATTAAATAATATTTAAATCAAACGCTGTACTAAGCGTAGGCGCAAATTGGGAAGGAGCTTAGGGGTTAGAACCTCAAATTTTAAAATTATAGCATCTTCAAAAACAATGTTCGTGTTTATGACGTTTATGTATCGGAAACTTCTTCTTACAGCACCTTCTTGCGCCTATGGTTCTAAGTATGAAGGCGCTGCAAATTTAACTAACGCACTGATAATAAAAAAATGTCTCGCTTATGATGTACCCATTCGTCGGTCATCCATGATAAGGCCAGTCCAGAACTGAGAATACAATGTCATAAGTTATACCTAGCTACTTGGGTACTTATATAAGAACTAAGAAGTAAATTAAAATATTACAGAACGGATACACTGTATCGCTAATGACACGCTAATGGCCGTATGTATATATTCATGTAGTATTTTAGTATTCTAGTGCTGCGAAGTTCCGTAGCACGTCGAATGAAACAAAATATAATTTCATAACACAAAAAAGCGTGTTGCATGAGTATACCTACTATTTCGAAACGACGTAATTTCAAAACGAGTATCGGAACCGTATCCAATATCCACGTGGTACAGTGAACCCCTGCATGCAGTGCGTACTGCGTAGGTAGAAGCATAATGATATAATGGTAGGGCAAAGTAATATCTTTATTGTTACTTTAGATATTGTCATAAAAGAATTAAATTCATACGAGGCACGGGGTAAGTACTTAGCTGCTCCGATACAAAAATAAAAAAAAAAGTTTTTATAATAAATAATAATAATATACATATATATATATGTATATATGTATATATCATCATACGTTCTTCTCTACCTCCCCACTGAAAATCAATGGCCGAAGAACCAACTAACTAAAATGCTGTGTACATTCCGCATTTCAGTATAATATAATTACATAAGCACTCTGCAGTATGCCCCAACATCGGTTTTGGTAATTTCTTTAATTCTCTTGTATTTACTACTTATATATATATATATATATATATATTTATAATACAAAGGTTTGCCTGATCGCCGATGAGTAGGTTAGTAGGTACATATAATATTAGTATATTTTATATAAATAATTCGTTGTATCAAGTTCATTGCATACGTGCCCCGTACGAGTAGGTACTTAGATACTACTATCGTCAACCATCATTATTCATTAATGACGTAGGTATAAAAGTTATGGATTGAAAATTGAAATAGTTTTCACGATGTTTTCCAAATACACGTTCTTATGTTCATATGTATGTAGTAAGATATATTGTGGATTGATGACAGACGACTAGTTCATAATATTATTATTAATCCTGATGAATTAAGATACGAATAATAATATATTATTACGATCCGTTTTGATCTCAACGCGTGAACCAACGAGTGCACAGACGGCCAGACAGGAATACAGGATACGGGAGAGTCGATGATGGTCTACCTGAACGGACAGGCGAGTAGCGCGCGCATGCCATTGGTGTCCGTCCAATCCCGAGACGCGTTGCCGATCAGCTAACGCGCGACGTCATCGATTATGCCGCCGCCGCCGAACTGGTTTCAGTGTTGCCGCCGTCGCCGGAGTTCGGGAGTCGGCACTCGGCAGACGCACGCCACCAGTGGAGCACCTTCAGCCTGCATCGGTCACGCCATCGCCACCACCACTACACGACTGCAGTCGGCAAGTGCAACGAACAACCGGTATTACATAAATATTGTAATAACAATATATATACTATTTAATATWAGTGTTTACGTTGTTATCATAATAAATAATAATATCGCCGTCCTCGTGCGTTACGCCGGTTGTTCATCCGTTTCTGTTTACTATTCAATATTCAATCGCTCCACTTGTAGTCTGTGTAGCCGCGGAMTTGGAATAGACACATACAGCCACATAAACAGGTGTAAAATTATAACAAGGTAAACAAATATTCATAATTATAACACCTTATACTACTTGTAATATGTACATAATAATTAGTAACATTATAAACAGTACTTGCGTGTCCCCGAGTAGTAAGACCGTGACTGATACATATCAATATAATATTTACATGTTGTTTTTCGACAGTAATCTGTAACAATTTAAATTTAACGGCATACATTTCTTGTGTATTGCTCAATACGACATTTTTGATATAATATTATATACTGTATTGTATTTTATATAGGGCCTACATTAAAATTTTAATAATACCATTCACACTGCGAATCACGTATAGAAATTACTAGAAATCTAGTATAGTCATATCCCATGTACTATATACATAGATACCTATAGTTATTTATACCGGGTGTTTTTTTTTTTATCGTTGAACACTTATCATTTCTGAAAGTATAAATGTTTTTCAAAAAAAATTATTCGTGGTGTCAAGTCATTAAAAAACTTTGTCTTCTAAAACATTTATACTTTTTGAAATAATAACAAGTAATCAATTACCCGATGTATAAGCATTTATCTATTCGAAAAAAAAATACGAATTCAGGGTTTAAAAGAAATGCGTGAGTGTATCATGGTGATGATGATGATAATGATTATAAATGATAATAGTAAATACTGAATAGTAATAATGATGCTATCTTGGAGGTGGTAGCGGCCGCAGATTTCGGGCAAGATGCTGCGCTACAGAGCGGGCGCGAAATTATTTTTAGCACTCAGAGTACGACTTACTTCGTTATATACCTACCACGCCACTGTACTGCTCTCAGGCAGGCATAATATGAATATAATATTGTTATGCTAGCATTTAACATCATTATGTCCGCGATGCACGCGCACGGTGATTTTCGAAACGCCGCGAGAATATGTGTTTAAAATACCTATGTCCCATCATACCATCAATATTAGATTATTTGTGCACCTGAAAACTCCATTAATTATTGTAATTATTGTGATTTTTATTGGTGTTATAAAAAATATTGTCAAAATATTGCTCGCCCGATCCTCGTCGTGTTTTTATGTGCGAATATTCAAATTTTTTCTCCCGCGATAGACAAACTATGAATTGTTTCTAAATCAAACACGGTCGCGACACTGCGTAGTAACGCGCAAGACTCGGTGGACGAAATATTTCGCCCCACAAACAAACTTCCATATCTACCAATGTTAATTGATGAATTATCGACAAAAAAATGTCTTCCTATAAAAAGTTCGTATTAACTACGTGAAACAAATCGATTACTGTGTGAGCATAAAACAAATGTATCTTATATGGCAGTACACCAACTAACCAGTATAAACTTATTATATATTAGGACGAACAGACGTGATGATATTAAATTGTACCTATATGACTCACCACTCGMGTAATTTATTGGGTAGTTTGATTATAAAATCTGAATTTAAAAAATGATAATGGTTTTACGGTTGTGGTAGTAACTGTTAATAATGTTGATTTTCGCAAGTAATTCGTTGTTTTAAATTCAAAAAGTTCCGAACAAGAATTATTTCAATATATATATTACTTAATTCTGTGAATTTTGATTAGTTTTCCATAAATATCTGCATACCTACGAAAAACCAATCAAAAACTTTATTGATGYAGGTTTTCTCTCGTTTTCAAATTATCGCGGGATGAATAATACTTTTTTAATATGCATGCATGTGTTTTTTATTATTGTTATCAATAGAGTATGAAGATTATCTCTTAGGATGACAAGATCTACAAGCTATAGAAAAATAAATTAACGACATACTTTTACAAAAACCAATTCCTATGTATATACTATATACTAATTGTATTTAATGTATTATCTAAAAATGGAATTCCTATATAGTTGTAAATATGATTTATTAATTTAACTATCAACGTAAAATTTTAGTACTGGGACGTGGTAATTAAAAAAAAGATATGAAAGTTATCTTTAACTAGTTAGTAACTTGTTTCATTGACTCTGAGATAACAGTACTTATTTTTAATGAATTACCGTGTCTTTAAATTAAAATAAAAACCATTTAATGGAATAAATACAACTTAAAAACTCAATTCTCACCATATTAAAATTTTTTATCAAAAATCTTAAATATAATTTAAAACTTCTTAATTAATATAGGTAACACAATTATTTGAAGAATAAAATGTTAAACAACTTATATTTTACCAAATCTTATCACTGTTGTCTATTTATATAATATTATTTTATTGATTAGATAGGTATTCAGATATTTTAGATTCTGAGCTCTGAGCAGAGCAATGTATTGATTTTACAATGTTGTGTCTGTGTACACGATAAGTAGTCGAAATAATTCTTCAATTTTTAACTTCATAAGCTTTTCCGGTTGGAAAGTGAATCTAGTTAGTGCACTGGGAAGGTCAAATTTTGAATTTAGTTTGAAGTAATTTTGAAAAGCACCAAGAACAGAAAAAAATAAGAAAAAGCAAAAACTCTTATGCAAAATCACTTGTTGAGAAAATCGAATTTTAATATTGATGTAACTTTAAAATAAATTACCGTAGACATTACCGTAAAGTCAAATTAAATTTTTATGAGCATTTGAATTTCAACGCTGGATATTCACTCAATTTCTGTTGTACCAATATTCTTATTTTATTGTTATTCAAAAACGAATAACCGTAGAAACTTAAATTCAATTGAAATTTACACCGAATGTTTATTTTATCAATTCCAATACTTGATAAAATTTTAAAAATATTTCAACAATTTCAAATTATTTAATAGACATTTGAAATTTTTCATTTTTTTTTTTTTTCTATTCTTTTAATATCAATAACATTTTATTCGTTGGGTCAAAAACCTTAAAATGTAATACAAGATTCCCCATAAGCTGATATAATAGCAGTTGGAAAATATTAAAAGTACATAAGCACGTTTTTTTTTTATAACCATTTTAAGTTCAAATTTTGACAATATTTATTTAATTAAAAATTTACAAATTCGTTAGTTGTTAAAAATTTATAAAACGTTTAACTTATATAGCTAAAGATTGATAATTTAAAACAAGGTGACTTAAGTAGTTAGGGGAACATGGAGCAAAATGGGGACGATAAGGTTTTAGTAGCAATAAAATGTTAATTTCACATGATATTTTTCTAAAATTGGATTCATATGATCTTTATGATGTCTAATATAATACCACTATCAGCTAATAACAATAAAACAATTTTTCACTTAGTAAAAATTAAAAACTTAAAAAGCTCATTTTGCCCCATGTATGGGGCAAAATGGGGTATGTTTTATAAAATGAATAAAAATCTGACAAAACACACATTTTTTGATATAATAATTATTTTATTAACATTCATTTTCTTATTTTATATTAACAAATTATTTTATACGTTGAAAAAAAATTATGAACAAAATTCACACACAAAAGTAGAGTCTTCTTCTTCATCAATGCCAGCACAAAGATTATGAGCCCATCTCTTACAGAGTGTGCATTTAATCCAGCCATAAATAGACTTCGAGTACAGTTCATTACAATAAAAGCAAATATCATCATCATTTTCAGAACTTGAGGACGTCCCCATTTTKCCCCAAAACATGTAAACTTCAAACTTAATTTTGCCCCTACGACATACTTACTTATTCGATTATTTTGTCACACGTTCTGACGATTATTAAGTATAATTGTTATGAAAATAATATTTTTATACACGTATACTGTAATTATCAATTATTAAAGTTAAAATAATTTACTTTCAAGCCGAAAAAAAATTGAAAGTAATAATCGATGTTTTTATATCACTGTTGTCGCGTTATCACATTTTTCATGTTCCTATCAATAACTCATATTATAATGTAAATTAAATAATTAAACTTTAACCATGTTTTCTCAATGAGGGAACAATTCTAAACAGCTGTTTTAAAAACTAATATTTTTATTATTTCCTTAACATTTAACCATGTCCCCATTTTGCCCCATGGCCCCGTTTTGCCCCACGTTCCCCTTATTCTGCGGAAAATCTAACAATTAATATACAAACACAGTTTTTTTTTATAGTTATTTTAAATTCAAATTTGAATGAAATTAACTATTAAATAACCAAAAATTACAATTTTAGCTATATTATTGTAATTTATAAATATTATTCGTTGGTTCTTTAAATTATATATACCTACTATGAATGACTGAGTGAGTCGTCTGGATAATAAATAAAATTTGATTAAATTGGAATTTATTCTATAGGTATTTACATTTTCTTTTGAAAAAATAGCAATATAATTAATCTAGTATAAAATTATAACATAATATCCTAGACTGATAAACCGTCTCCGCTCAGAATCGTTTTTCGTTTACAATAATATTATATCATTGAATTCAAATTTAATACCATCTACATTACAGTAAACCACTTCTTGTAAACTATACTGTACTGCAGAGCGATATCTACTTACTCGTTTTTTAAACAATGAATCCATCTTTTATATATTCTAATATTAAATCAATATAGTGACAACTTAAGAACTAAAAGAACTATATCCCATATGTCTATAACATAATATATCAATTCACAGCTGTCCTTTTTACTATAATTTATAATAAAGAATCGTAAAAAAATAATTTGTTTATAAATATGGTGAACAGACAGCTGTGAACTGATATACGTATATGTTATTACCGATAACCAATACGTATGTTAACCGATATTTTTTTATCTTGGTGGTATATAATATTAGCTAGGTATCTTTGACCCGCGGTCTGTCTCGTATTTACTTGAGTTCCACGATCACTTTATAAGTATAGAATATTTTTTTAAATACATGTTTTTGTTATGAATACAGTCATAACAGCATGCTGCCCTAGAATTTTTTTGATAATAATCCCATCCATTACTGTAACCTACAGTACAGCAGAGCGACATCCACGACTTACCCGCTTTTTTTTCTTTTATTTTATAAATTGATATTTTACTATATAGTATTATTTTTTTATTAGTATTTCTCTGCTAGTTCTGTGAGAATTTAAATTAATGTGCTTAGATTATTTTTCGGATGTTTTATACCTATGACTTCCGCAATTGTGTATTTATTATCAAAATTTGTTTGAAATCATTATAAATGTATGTAAATATATATTAGTATATGACATGGTATTTAATACAAAATAATCAAATATCTTTTATATAATAATTAATACTTKTAATATACTAAAGATCAATATTATTCAATAATTTAAAGTTCATTATTTAGTTTTCTGATAATTTCAGCACAGTAAATAATAAAATAATTGTATTGCTTTTAACTGCACGGAAACTCCTCCCATAAAGYATGAATTAGATGAAGGTCTTTTTTATAATGTATATGATAATAATTCATAAATTGCCCACGTTTTGCCACAACCCACATTCAAATTTGAAGTGTTTGTATCCGTCGAAATTTAAATCTCAATTTAAAATTTACAACTCAGTGTTACTGATACCTATAGTGTTTTAATGACCGTATTTCCGTCTATTTGAAATAATAATATTATTGTAGAATATATCCGCTTAAACATAAATGGCTTTTTACAGTTTCTCAATATTCCACTTGTATGTTAACCACTTTATCGGTCATAGAAATTTTCTAAATCTATTTACTAAACACTATACTTCTTGTTTTTTTTTTTTTTTGTAATTGAAAAGTATTTTAATATTAAATTAAATATACGACACAGAAGGAGATAAATTAACTAATTAACTACCTACTAAAAATATTAAAGTACCTATACTTGTACTGCATCATCATATCAAAATACATAGTGGCGTGATGTACGTAGGACAAAATATTATCAGCTAAATGCTTAACATCACACTTAAACATAAACTGAATCACACTAATTATCAAAAGTCAATAGAATAATCTAATTATGAGTTTAAACTTCGAGGTCAACAATTTACAATTGAAAATTGCAAGAGGAATTCATCACTCAAAGTTTTAGTTTAGAAAATAAGACCGTTAGCCGTTGCAGTTTTCTCAATTATAGATGTTTCAACATATTACACTCATTAGGGATCTATATTTTTAAACGTATTTAAAAATATAAATTATAATACTCCAATACTTATAAAGTACCTCAATATTATAACTTAAATAAAAAAAAAAAAAAATCCTAGTATATCATGATTTAAATGATTTGATATTTAATAATTATACTTGCAGCAACGTAGATGCAAGCGTAGCCATCTAAAATTTATTATTATATAATTTGGTACCTATACATAAAATTCACTTAATAAATAATATTTTTTTCTAACAATTAATAGTTTTGTGATTTGTTATATATGTTAAACTAATTTAAATGAATGATTTATGCCTTTATGGAAGCATGGACGTTTCAGTTGTGGAATAGAAAATGTATATTTTTAATTTTATACTGATAAACAGCTCCAACTACCTTTCAGCTATAAGCCCAACACAAAATTAACATTAGCTTAACTTAATATTAATAGTTTCGTTTTTATTTTTTACTGTTCTGATATCAATATACCTACATAATTTATTATGAAAATTCCAAATTCCAATGCTAATTTATTTATTTCAAAATTGAATATCATCTAAAACTGGTATATTTGGTTTTGGTAGGCTCGTTTACTAGATTTTAGATTTTATTTCCGTGCAAGTAGGTTAGCAACGAAAATAAATTATAACCAAACGTCTGATTTGTAGCATTTTAGATAAGTGATAAAAAAAAAAAAAAAACTGGAAATAGAAAAAAAAAATTAAATAAATAAAAAATATAATAAAAAAAAAACTGGACAAGTTTCACAGAAGTGTAAGTCACATACCTATGTATTTTTAAAAATCAATGCAACTTCAATGGACTTTAGTTATTTGAAATTTCCCCGAAGGTCTCTATATAAATGGTTTTATATTAATTTTATTCCTTTACCTAAATTATTTTTTAAATATTTTATTTAATGATATAAATCAAATTCCAGAGTTCTGTAAATGGTTGATTTTCTTGTGTATCTTCTAATAAATGCATTAAATGCATGCCTCATTACTAAACTCTTAAATATTTTTCTATTTATCAAATACCTAAGTATCTATGTAATTTAAATTCATATATATTAATTAATATACATCAACTGATTTTTGTTTAGGTCGTATTTTTTTTTTCTAATAAAAATAATACATTTTATTCGAGGAAAAGAATTAGAAAATTGCGAAGTCGTAATTTTATAGCAATATTGTTTTGTTTCATATTTTATTAATCGTATTACATACAAAATACAAATAAAACAAAACAATGGAACCCATTATTAGAGGTGTAATATTACATTGGTTTTTACTATTGTTATCCAATTAGTACTTCAAACCGTTTTCATTCAACTTCATTAAGTATAGTAATGTAAATCCTAAATAGAATTATTAATTTGTCGACTCTTGTGTTCTTGGTTTGTGATGACAATATAAATTATATTGTGTGATATGTTGGACAGTTTACTTTAACATGAATCGCTGTGGTCAAAAGTCTACCGCCTTGTACATAGTTCAATCAACTTATTGCAAATATATCATCGTGGGTTAAGAATATTAATTTAATAATAAAACATTAAATGTACATTATACGTTAACCTAATAACAATAAACTTTAAAGTTTAAACATAATAAACGTGAATATAAAACAAGCGTATAATATTATAAATTTATAAATGTGTTACATACTTACATATTTTGATTGGTGCTGATAAAATGAGGAACCAAACATATTGATTAATATGCCTTAGTGGCTAGTGTTGATAAAACTCAAATTATTTATTGAAAATATATTTCTGCAAAATGTTAACAACGAAAGTCACGACAAACGAACGGACTCAGTTCCAGAAATACTCATTAATATATAATATGTAATTTTAATTTTAACTATTTTTATTGTTATAATTATTCTATGTTTCTATTACAGGTAGGTACTTACACTTTATTATTTTTAAATATTATAAATATAATAAAAGTTAAATGTATTAATTATCATTGATTAACTTATAAGTATTTCAATGTATAAAAACATATAATATAATATACGATACATATTTTATAGTTTTAAGATTATTATGYCATATTAAGCTGTTGTATAACATTATTTGATGTATTTTACGGTTTTAATAATCAGAATTATTATTATTAATTTGATTCGAACAATTATATGTCTTATTCTGACTTCATATTATTATTTTGACGCTTGATTACATATTTAAATATGTATATGTTTAAACAATTAATTGATTAATCAATATTCATATTCAAAATCTCTATATATTTTAATCTATTCACCTACGTAATTAAAACATTGAACCAATTTTGAAAATTATACTATTTCTTAGACAAAATTGGTTATTGTAATGTTGACAAAAAGTAATATCGTAAACTCATAATATATATGTTAAGTATACAATTACTGAAATAAAAATTTGAAAATTTGTTAACAGTATTATATATTATTGTGATCAAATTATGGCATCGTGGTAAACAGTTTTGAGGAACACAAATCATGTCCGGCCCGACGGATAATGGGGTCACTGGGACTCATAACGTACAGCCTACAATCACAGAATGTAAACTTTATAAAAGACGATGGCTYATGCTGGTGCTTTTTGTCCTGTGTTCGATGATCAACGCCGTACAATGGATACAGTACAGCATCATATCAAACGTGATTATTAAATTTTATAATGTATCAAGCTTTGCTGTGGATTTCACATCCATTATATACATGGTCACCTACATACCACTCATATTCCCGGCGTCCTGGATACTAGAAAAAATGGTAAATATAATCAATATCTATTTTAAGCATAATTGACTATATGTAGAACCTCCACAAGGAGGGATTCAAAAGGTCCCATGGTACTGGGGCCCGACATTCATGCAAATAATTACTTCAATATATATAAGAAMATTTTTCAAAATTAATTGTTATCTAAGAGGGGTCCGGATTTAGTTCTGTGCCACTGCCAAAAATATGATGTAGGGAACCTGACTACATTTAAATTTTTTAATTTTCAAAAATCCACTTCAAACGCTAAAAAAAATCTTTCAAAAATCCACGCTACCTTATTGGCGTATAGTATCACTGTAAAACTATATAGGTAGTCTAAAATTCATATCCATGAAATATGTTTTTCCAATTATAAATACTTAATGAAATAAAAAWAAGGATTTTTAGCATTCATAAATAAATAACTATAGATAAAGCTTATTTATCTATACAGTGAACCTCCTTTAACGGACACCTCTTAATAGCGGACACCTCCAAATAGCGGACGACGTTTAAGCGACCGATAGTGTCCGGTATTTAGAGGTTTCACTGTATTAATTGCTTGTGGAAATCATATTACTCAACACTCGATTTTTAAATTGGTAATGACTTATGTTCTTGTTTAGATGATGGTAGAATTAAATAAATTATTTAACAGTTTCGTTCGTCCTTAATTATAAATTCATAGATACCTATTTGAGTTATAACTATAAATAACTATAAAAAAAAAAATTGAAAAACAATTAGGTCCACATTAGATCCCATGTTTTTTTTTTAAATATATATGTACTGATGAAAAAATAATTAGCTGCTAGAACCATGGTTCAWCTGTACATTATTATATTATAATAATATTATAGTATGTAATATTTTAATTATAAAGTATAATACCTATACATTATTATTGTGATTAACACCTTAAACGACTATTTAAACATACATTGAACGCGTGCCCTTAAAAAAGTCTTGGTTTAGATCTCGGGTCTGGTAAAAGGATTTCTCCCTTTTTGTGTTTTTCTTTCTTTTGACATAATATACATATATATTATATGCAGTTTCAAACGCGTTTTGATTACCCGGAGGTTGATGTAGATATTATCATYATATATTGTGTCCGTATATTATACTTAGGGTCTTCGCGTGGCTATGGTAGCCGGCTCTTTTGGCACGATGCTCGGTGCCTGGTTCAAAGTCGCTTCTTCCAGTCCGGAGAGATTTTATATGACCATGCTGGGTCAAACGATTACAGCTAGCTCGCAAGTTTTCATATTGAATTTGCCGGCACGCTTGGCAGCAGTGTGGTTTGGCCCGTCTGAAGTATCTACAGCGTGTTCAATCGGAGTGTTTGGAAATCAGGTAAGTCCCTATAAATTATTATATATGTGTACTGTCACTTGTCAGTGGCGTATTTGACTTTTAGTTGTATAGGGGAGGGGTGACACTAAAATTATTATACACAACCTTAAATTCTACCCTATTTATTTTACATGCAATGAACTATTTTTATTTTTTTTGTTTACTGTCTGATGCCACTTTTCTAACAGAAGTTATGATAAATATTCAATCATWTAGGTATAGTAGCATATTATTTAATCTTGCTTGTACTTTTTCTCTATGAAAACTAATAATTATTCAAATCATGGGGAAACGACCCCCTCTCAAATACGCCACTGCAGTGTACTGTATATATAATATATAAAATACAGCTTGTTGTTCTTAGTTTCAGTTGTACCATTTTGGTATTATAAACTAATAACTATAAATGTACATTATGGCACATCGTAAAGATTAATTTACAATATTATGATCTATATAGTACCAAGCGTGTTTTATTTTTCAGTTCGGTATAGCTCTGGGCTTCTTGTTGCCACCTCTACTGGTTCAAGACAACGACAATTTGTACGCTATATCCTCAGGCTTGTCACGAATGTTTTACGCCACAGCCATAAGTTCAACATTGGTGTTTATATTAATATACTTCTGTAAGTTTATTAACAATCGACAATATTTGTTACGTCTCAGTCTGCCGTCACCTTTTCACTATTTTTTTAAATTTGCTCGTTTATTATAGGTACCTACCTCACAAAATAATAATATAGGTATCATACTTATAACTGGTGTGGACAGGGTGAGAATTTTAAAATTAAATAATAACGTAATGTTTTTTTTTTGCATATAATAGTGGATCAAACAAGCTTGAAGATTATTTATTTATCGTACCTGCCATTATTGCCCTTTATAGTGCTATAAAGTTTTTAACGTTTTTCCAGAGTTTTCGTGAAGTATAACTGTATAAGTATAAAGGTATATGTTTTAGGTATTTTGAGCCCAGATAATGATTTAAAATAYAATTTTGGAAGTTTAAAAAAAGTAATTTATAAAATAATAACCACAGTTACTCGATGGGTCGTTAATCTTCTACTAATCTGTATCACAACARTATATTGTTAAACCCMTCTAGGCTCCAAGCTAGATTACCAGTGCAAGAATAATATTTGTATTTACTACAGACAATATGTCATAAGTTACAATTATATTTTCATCTGTTGACAGTTGTCAAGCCATCTCCGCCATTACCACCGAGTTTGGCACAAGCGAATCAGAGATCGACCAGTACTAACGACCCGAAAAACTTCATCAAGTCTTTGTGGAGACTAGTGTACAACTATGGTTTCCTTTTATTATTACTGTCATACGGCATGAACGTTGGTTCGTTTTATGCCATTTCCACACTCCTAAACCAAATTATATTGGAACATTTTCCTGTAAGTATTCAGTAAATTTTTTCGATTTCGCTTATAGAATGATTACCGGTTATCAATCATTTAACATAAATCTATTAGGCCGTGCATGTATTTATAACAAATAACAATAACTATTATCATATTTTAGGAAAATGCGGTGGATGCCGGCAGGATAGGTCTAACAATCGTCCTTGCAGGAATGGTGGGTTCAGTAGTGTGTGGTTTCGTATTGGACAGAACGCATCTCTTCAAGTAAGTTTGCAAAGATGTTTATTTTTTAATCTAATATCACTGTAAAATTACGCTGCTAATATGAGATATTTTAAACATTTAGAGAAACGACTCTAGTGGTGTATGCGTGTTCGTTAGTCGGMATGATAGTCTATTCATTTACGTTGTCTTGCGGATACATATCAGTTGTGTACCTGTCAGCAATCCTACTTGGGTAGGTATATTATGAGTGAAAAAAATAAATATTGATCTTAAATCATAATAATATGTTTGTTGTTTGTTTTTCAACGAGTTTCAAAATATAACTTTATGTTTATGCATTCCCAGGTTTTTTATGAATGGTTATTTAGCGGTTGGATACGAATTAGCGGCTGAGCTGACCTATCCTGAGTCCGAAGGAACATCCAGCGGAATGCTAAATGCAGTTGTGCAAGTATTCGGCATCGTTTTCACCTTGATTTATGGATGGATAAATAATGCAGCCGGAGACAAGAAAGCTAATTTATTTTTGGCTGGAACGCTCGTCCTAGGAACCTTCCTCTCCGCCATGATACCATCCGACTTGCGGCGACAAGCAGCTCAAGAAAAGAAATCACTGATTAATTGATTAATTAATGATAGTTTTAAAACCATAAGCAATGTATAATTGGCTCAAGTATTTGTAATTTATTATCCCAATATATTATAAGTATTTAAGTACCTTTTATATTGATATATTTTAAGGATCTGATGATATTCCTTATTCGCCTAGAAAGGAATTAAARTTTAAACCTATAAAGATTCCATATTTTAGTAAAATATAAAGTATTTATTTTTCATTACTTATTGAATTTTTTTAATATTTTATAACTACTGTTATTATATTAAGCTGTTGTTTATAATTTTAATGATTAAAAAAATATTTCTCGTACAATTTTGTTGTGTTAATAGAAATCTATATTCTATTCTAAATTACATTACCTAAATTATAATTTTATATTATTACCCGCAAACTCAATAACATAGCGCCATTTAAAAAAAACTAATGATGATCAAAAATTGCATGTGCCTATTAATAGTTCAACTTCAGTCGAAATTTTTTAAAAATTGCATGGTGGATAGAATAAACTTATATAAACATTCGGTGAAAATGTTATGTATCTGGTCATTTGTTTTAAAGTTACATCAAAAACCAAAATCTTGTCGAAAACTGATTGTGCGTAAAAATTYCTTAATTTTTAGTTTATTTATCCCGATTATTTAGGAAAATGTTGAGAATATTTTGATAATACTTTTGACACCCAAAGTACTAACTAGATTCGTTTTCTGATAGAACGAGGTACTGAAGTCGAAAATCGAAGCACTTTTTCTATCCCAAAACGTGTGATGACAGACACAAAAAAAAACATTCATCATGGTAAAATCAATACATCCCTTGCTCCGCTCAGAATCTAAAATGTTATATTATACATATAGTGCATACGTAAGAAAAAAAGTTTTTTAATTTGTCAGGTTATCCAGTTACATTCAGTTTACATTGTATATATAGCATGGATTATACCTGTCCTTAAAAATCATTATTAATTAAATACAATGATAAATTTGAATTACATATATTAAAATTCCATATAAATCATATAATACAAAAATATAAACAAAATGTAATGTTTAATTCAGTATTTATGATACACAGGGAATTATTATAAATTTTAACAAATTACAGCTTAATATTTAATTTAATTTTAAATAATCATAGCCCCTAATTCATCCACCTATTTATTTGTTATACATTTAAACAACTTAAAAACTACTATTTCAAATTTTTAAATATATTACAATTTTCAAAAAAAATCATCTATTAACATATGRCTAATTATTAATTTAAATATTATACCTTTGTACACTTCATTCCTATTTGTGACCTCCCTCATATAGTCATATTTTATTTAACTGTCCTTCCCTCCGGCTTAAATGACAAATTCTATTAAATCCTCTTATAAATCCCTTATTATTCCTCTCAATCTTTACTCCATCTTAAACACCAAATCTGAACCAGCTATTAAAATGATAATCACCTTTATATTGGAGGCTGGCTTCATAATATAAACAATAAAGTATATAAGTATTAATCTGTATTAATCTTAACATCTTACTGTTTTTTTTTCAGTATGTAACTGTCAAGCTATCATAGTTTTATACTAGAAGCTTTAAAAATTTAAAATAAATATTATACTTTCCTGTGTCTATGTGACAACATGTGTTGGATAATATTTTTCTAATCAATTACAAATTACTAAGGGTTGCCCTGTTTAATTTTTGGTCGCTGTTGTGCTTAACATGTTATTTTCCAAAAGATCTTTTATTTGTTTTAAGTTTAAGAGGACATCTCCTCTTTATTAGGTACTGTGTAACCTTTTTTTTTTTATTAAGGGGAAACCGCGGCAACATAGGCCACTGTTGGGCGTGGAGTGATACGGTAGGGGTTATTTTTGAATATTTGTTTGTAGGTATCTAAGTGAGTAGGGTTGTAATACGTGTTTGTATATGTTTGGCAAGGATATGTTGCTAAAAATCCCGGGTAGTCACTCATCCGGGAGCTAGCAACTGCGGCCGTTTCGTACGCTCAGTGTGTTTCCGCAGATTAAGATTAATTGACATGAAGAATAATAAAATATAAAATATTATATTATTTCGATTATGTTGAAACTAGGTACCTAGGTATTAATAAAAWTGGGAAAATGTCAACTTATCTCCTCCAAGTTCACAGAATTTACACTAGAAACACATGGATTAGTGTGTAATATAGATCACCAGATCATGCATAGCTTTGATCCAGTGGTATTTTTAGTTATATTATTTCCGAAATAGACCGATTATATTAAACTTTATAGACAATGTAATAAAAAATTTAAAACATATATAAATATAGGTATAATATGTAATAAACTAATAAAACAAAATAAGATAAAAGGAGACTAATATAAACTACACTATTTAAAAAATAAAATGTACAGTAGATCATTTCACARGTGTAAAGAATTTTTTAAATAACAAAAAGTTCTTGTACATACACTTATTTAGTAAAAAAAATATGCGTAAACATTCATGCCTGGAAACATTTTATGATTTATTCACATAGGTACATTAGTTATATTTTGTATAATTTTATAATTATTATTATGTGATGAAGGATTTTATTTAACATTTATTTAATATAATTACAC